TGTGACAGATGAATTAAATATATTTTATTGTTGTCATTAATATGTCACAAAAATCAGAGGAAACCATGCAGTCCATCTCAGTTTTTTTCGATCTTTGTCTCACTCTTTTGTTCCCAACTCCACACATTTCTCACAGTTTCATAATCCTACTGAGAATGATGCAACCATACAGTAACTACACAGACAGACAAGCAAACACACACATAAACCAGACTCCATAGGAATTATTTCATCTACACAGACTTCATCCACAACACAGTTTTCCTCTGTCTTGTATGTCTGCTTTAACCTTTCAGTTTGTATATGTAGGCCAGGGTGCCTCAGTTGTAACAGGGCCTACTTTCATTTGACTGGATTCTAGATGTTTTGTTTTTCTGGCTGATAACACCTCTCAGAATGTAGAGTACCCATGACGTACTGACATCACCAATCTCTACAAACGTAGCCATAAACAAACAGCCATAAATGTATATGTTGTCTCATCCTAAGTGGTTCAACAGCAGAAGGAGGGAGATGTCTGTGAAGCTCCGGCCTCAGTTCATGTATTTTCATTATACTCATGTCAAAGCATAGCATTGCAAAGTCACAAAGGTTATGTATCCACACTTACAGCTGAGAGCACTGTAAGTGTAAGAAGTACTCAGATGCGTTATTTAAGTAAAAGTGCCAATACAGGCTTCTAAAAATACTCCACAATAAGTAAAATCGTCAAAATGTACTTAAAATACCAAAAAGCAAAAGTACTCACTCTGAAGTAAAATGTCTTGTGATGAATGATTCTACCTGATATTACGAGACTTTGTATGTATCCTGTGTTCTACTGTTGTAGCTGTTTGTCAGTTGTTAGCATTATGGGAAATTAGCACCGTAGGAATAAGGAAGTCAGGTCATGTCGTTGCGGAGTGACAAAGTCCATGGGTACATCCCATTGCTCTTATATGTAGCCACATTTCCTTCACTTCCATCTTTTCCTTGCACCTGAGTTCTGCCCATGTAAGATGTGAGCAAAAAATGCAAGGAAAGAGGAATCAAAGAAACACATTTTTAGTCATGAGACACAATGGTGCCCTCAAGGGATGGCCGGGGGGGATGGCCACCTCACTAACAAGCCCAGTCATTTTTTGCAATGTAAACCCTTAAAAATCTGACATCTATTTAAGATCATGCACATTTGAATTGAGTCATGAAGGCAGCATTCTTGAGAAAGAAAATTATTTTTGTACATGATTTTTATATAAAACTATTGAAACTAGATGTTGGTTGCTATTAAATTATTCAAATCAATGAAATGACAAAAATAATAAAGAAACTGAGCACAAAATCTGGTGTGTGTTGTGTCAGTGTGGGATGCTGTTTATTTGATGTGCAGAGTAAATCAAATTGAAACCACACCATGCACACAACTTCGACCACTAAGGATATCAGTAGAAATATGAAAGTTCCCGAATGAAACTTCGTCAGCTGAGTAGTTGAAATATTAGAAAATATTTCACATTCTATTGCCACAGGCCTGCATGTCCCCAGTATACTTCATTAGTAATTAGACTTTTGCTCCATAAGGACATTCAATAAGCACATGTTGCCAGGCAACAGATACAGTTGCAGCCTCCATGCAGAGTCTTGATGATATTGCTTAGCAACTACATTTGTTTGTAGGCTGTTAAAGCTGAACCCCACAGTGCTGTATGACTGTGATACAGATTGAGCCACAGGGGTGTCATCAGCTCCCATCAGAAGGACTGTGCAACCTTGAAACCAGACAGGGTAAACAGCTGGTGAGAAGGAATCTATACCTCTACACCACATCAATTTAACTTCTCAAACTCTTGATTTAGCCTTACATTTCTGTATTTAAAAAAAACATACAATGTAACAATGTCATACCAGTTACACCACTTATCCAATTCTATCAGTTCCACTAGTCTAATACACCACAAATATAAAACTGTGGGAGTTGGAGCAAGGCTTTGCCACACAGCTCAAGTTTACAAAGCCACCAGTGAATCTGACATATAAAAGTGTCACTCTCAGAACAGAGAGTAGCCTCTAAGATGAGGTGATGATGTTTCCAAGGCCATAACATCAAGATACCTTTGATTTTAAAAAGTGCCTCTCCTCAGAGAGGATATTTGACTCACAAAGGGTTTTCTGGTACATTATCCTTCTTCTTGTTCTGGGATAAACAAGCTCAACTGTACTCAGAGGCTCACCCTCACCTGAGGATTGGCTGCTAGCTTGTGGGGATAGAGGAAAAGCCATAATATCTGCTGTGTCTAATACATTTTTAGAGATCTGTTGTTTTTGCAAATATACTACATTGTACCAGTAATGTGCTGGTATAATAATGTGGCATTACTATGAAGTAAATATAGAAAAATGAGTGGTCCACTAGTGAAATCATTGTGCCTTGTCTTCTGATCATGAACCTGAAGTTGATTAAAGGGATAGTTCAGCATTTGGGGCAATATACTCTTTGATGACAATACATGAGAAGAAACAGGCAAAAACATTAAACTTTTGGGAAAATGTGAGGTAGGATATAATCTGGGAAACACAGGACATGTTTAATAAAACTAATTCTAACATTGTGACATGTACAACAAAATAATTTTCGGAGCTCAGGAGCTCAGGGCCCTGGGCTGCTGCATGCACACATGCCGCCATCATGGGCAGGGGGGGGGGGGGGGTTACAGGGACATCCGCACTTCCGTCATTTTACAAGCTCCCTGATTAGGAGAGATGTGAAGTTTATCAGGGTTTGGGCTGTACTCAGAGGATTGTTAATGTTACGTTATTTTTGGCTGGAAGCATTTCTCAGCTGTGGGGCATCCCAGTGAATCCGTGGGCTAAGTTGAATACCATGTACTTGTGATGTTGTGGGCTAAAATCTGGCTCCCAGCCTGTCACCCCCCCCCCGTCATCTTCTACACCACAGCTTTGCATACAGTCTAATGATGCAGAAACAAATCCCAAAGCTTAATATCTGCAGAAAGCTGTGAAGATGAGATGTTCCTCCTACACAGACAGGCAGCAGCTCTAGAGGCCTGGACAACTCCAGTTAGCTACTGGAATGCTACAGGACGGAATATCTTGATGAACTCTCTCTGATAGCAAAGAAGTAACCAGCAGCCTCCATCTGAGCTGTTAGCTGGTAGATTTGTATCTGCAGAGAGGAGCTGAATACACTGTGTGGACTGACATCAGACCTGTAGTTACAAAGGTAATGTGACAAATCTGAATATCTGTAAGGCTGCCATGTTAGTGAGTCCTATTCCATTTGACAAGATGGAGCAATTTTATTAGCATAGTGAGTTGGTTAATGTCAAGATGGTTGGAATTAAATTTCTCAATTTCAGTAGGAGCAACATGCAACCATAAGCAGAGGACAGAAATAAGTCTTTTTCAAAATTCATTTCAAATATCTACTGTACTTCGGCTATTACAATAAGAAATACTGATACTTAATTTCAAATTATTCCAAAGTACTTTTTGCTTCTTTTTTTTCTGTATATTGCTTCTCCCCTCCGCCAGATAAATGTAGTTTTTTGCCTCCTGTCAGATTTTTTCTAAATAAGACAGAACAAAAATGACCCCTAGTTCTTACTGTAGTTTTAGTTTTTGTTGAGAGGAGCTACATTATTGTTAAAATGAGTTTCCGCAAGCAATACTGCAGATATTGATGGACTTGTTTCTAAAATACAGTGCTTAGATTGTGTTGAAAGATTTTGAGCAGAATCACAAATCGGGAAGCCACACACTTTTCTCATAAAACCTATTGTATGTATATTTATTAAAGTTTATTTTATTTTACAGCTTATACATGTTTTAGTATGAGTGATAGGGACTCAGAGCAAATAATGTTCGGTTGTATGTCTGCAGGGCTGCAGCTAACATTTATCAGTTATTTTCTCAATGAATTAGTCGTCTTGTAAATATCAGATGTGAATTGATATAGCTTATTTTACCATATCAACAATCCAAAACCCAAAGATATTTACTTCACTATCAAATATGATTAAAAATTATTCTCAAATCTGAGAAACTAGAACCAGTAAATATTTGACAGTTTTACTTGAAGAACATCTGTAAGTGGACCTTTGAAAGGGAAGCAGCTAAGTGCTGAGAGCACAAGGGAGCCAGCTGTCACCTCACCTGAACTTACTAATGGATGTTTTGGGGAAGCCTGGTGGCGCAGATGGCTGGAACACATGTCAAGCACTTACAGCTGTTTGAGCCTATCAGATGACCTGTAGCATCATCTCTTTTTGTAATTGTAAGAAAACAGAAGTAATGAGCTTTATCGCCTGCCCACTTGTTAACCCATACAGCTGTCCACACCAGTGAAGAGTTGTAAATCCTCAAACTCAGATCAGGATGGTACACAGAAATATATACAATTAGACAGATTGATTTCTCCATACACATACAAACAAAATCCCTTGAAGCTGAGAGTTTCCCTCTAGAGACAGCCTCCCTATTTTTCTAGGTTACAGTAAGAAACCAACAGACTATAGTTCTTTTTCTGGAGTACTGGGACAGCATGATGCTGCACAGACCTGATCTGGAGTATAGATAGAGTGTTATGTAATTAATCCTCCTCCTCCTATGCAGATACAGTAGACAAGCCTAGAAAAACTACTGTCAGCTGTAGCTGTAATCCTGAAATGGCTGATCCAGCTTATATATTGTGTCATTTTGATAATGCTGGCTCTTATATTCCCATGCAGACCAGCAGCGCTTGACTCAGCTAAAGCCTTTGCATAACTGACACTGTAACAAACATCTAGTGTAATGTAGGTTTCATACAGTAACACCAAATCCCTTCTACAGTCACGCAGCATGCAGAGAATCTGTCTCTGTCCATCTCACCCACACACACACACACACACACACATAACATACAACCTAAAGAAACCTCGGTTTACCTGTTAGCACATAATTCAGTGCTGGTAAAGACAAACAGACAGGCAGAGAAAAGTACTGTGTGAGGCTTCCCTTACCAACAGATCCCTTTCCTTCAGGAATCCTTCCTTTCTTCTTCCTTCAGCTGGCTTCTTCCAGCACTCCAGCTTTCATCTTTCCAGTAAGGAGATCAGGAGGAAGAGAGCAAACGACTTTCAATAATTAGCATTCCTCTTGTTCTTGTGTTTTCTCTCCGTCTCTCCTCTCTTCCAGGTTTCTCCCTATTCTCCGTGGGGAAGCAAGAGCATCAGTGATACACTGCCGCGTGCTCCGCTGCAGGAGGCTGTATGTCAATCACACAAGTAACCTAGGGAACCACTGGGCCCGCCCCCACACAGCCAACGCTGATTGGCGAGTTGATGAAGAACCAGAAGTCACAAGTCCTCGCAGATCCACAGATGGGTACCGAGAGCTGTGGTGGGATCATGTACAGAGCCAAACAAACAGTAGTGGATTGCAGTACTTGTGAACTCTCTCCTCTCTGACTTCAGAGCCTGCTGCTTTATTTTACAGTTGCTTAGCAACAGACTGGCATGTGTGAGTGTGACTGTGTTTTGCAGAGCAACAGAGATGTGGGAGAGAGAAAGGAGTTAAGTCCTCAACACTCCCTTTCTCTCTGTCAGAGGTCTGTTGAATATTTCAGCTCTCAGCAGCAGATTCAGTACTACGAAGGCTGCTGCTTTAGAGCAGCCTAAACTGTTACTGTATATACACTATGAGTGGTTTGTTAAAAGACAGGTTCACATCTTATCCAAGACTGTCTTAAAACAGTAGTCAGGTGACCCTGAGCCTTCCCTCAGTTATTCTGCTATAGGCCTAGGCTGCTGGGGGCTCTGAGTTCCTCTCCTCTCTCTCTATGTGTATGCCACCATTACACATCACTAACTGTGTGTCTCCTCTCTCCCTGTACCTTTTTGCAGGTAGCCCTGGCTCTGAAGTTCTACGTTTCTGATGAGCCGTCACTGTTGTTTGAGTATAAAATACATCTTTCATGTAGGCTTGAAATGTGCTGTAACACATCTGTTTGTTCCTTGGCTTCATGGAAATGTTTACAGCAGCAAAAAAGTAACGAAAAAACACTTCTCAGACCACTCGTGCAACAAAATCCATGAGCTCAGTTTGCTCAAAACCACAGTAAGCTCCTGTGCAGACACAGATTGGTTAGTGTGGCTAGAGCCCTGTCTTCTTGCACTTCCAGTCTGAGCAGACCTCCTCGTCCGATTCAGTAACTGCACTGAAAGTTTACAAACCAAGTGCAGCTCCTGAGTTCTGCAGAAAGTTGTGTGTCACATGTAAAAATAACACTGTACCCAAAGTATTTAATAAAACAGCGGGAGACAAAAGTCAGTTGTTGCTGCAGCACTGCATTTGCCGCAGTTCAAAGTATTATCTGTAAAACTGATTGTACATACAGATACCAGCAGGTGGCACTAATATCGTATTTAAAGCCCAGAAGCAATTTTTGAAGATTGTTTAAGAGCTCATGTCACAAAACTGCAAAAGCTTATGATGTAATTTTCTATTTCTATCCAAGCTGATTTATTGGACACTCGAAAACACCTTTAGGCTATGGATTTTGTTTGAGAATGCTAAATACATTTAATAAAATCGCATTGTCTATAAAATAGGCTGGAATTAAGGCCATTGTGTTCAGAAGAACTGACCATACCTGTATAACAGTCAGTGGCATGGTGACAGTTTCTAGCAAACATGGGGACTGGTAACTAAGTAGTTAAATGTTTTGTGCCAACAACAAGTCCTGCAACATTTTTCGTGATATAATGTAGTTTTGTATAAGTTTGTTACTCTTTGATAAAATCAGTTTGTGGGGTCGGGTTTCTCGTAGCTACTTATTCTTCAACCTAGTTTGACTGCTTTGAAAGCAGATGGAGAAGGAGTTGATCTGTGGAGACTGTAACATGGCGTTTCGCTCCACTGGGCTGCTCGAGAAACATAAAGCACAGTTCTGCATTGGGAGAGAGATCGGGAACCTTCTGCCGCGAAGACACAGCTCTGAAATAAGGAACAATGGTGGAGGTGTGGACCCTAAACAGACAAGAACCCCTGATCTTGTTCAGGTAAGAAAGCCAGGAGAGTAAATGGTTATGGTGAGTGATCAGAGAGGAAGAGTGAAATTACTGGCATCTGCAAAAAATAGAAAACATGGACTTTGCTATATACAAACAAGCAACTTTGAGGTCTTCTGATTTGTAGAGTAGATGCACATGAACTTGTATTTTTCAGCAGCTTTAAAATTACATACGAATGTGGGAATTTATCATAAATATGAGAACTTTTGTTGTGGGCCGTCCATTTTGATAGGTAAGAAAATGTTACTGATAAGAGACAGTTAAGAGAAAATGAAATAATTGTACACCAGAGTGCCAATACAGGAAAATAAAATGAATATATAAATACATTACAGTATGTTTACATTGCAAATAGTATTTTTAAATTAAATTTTCACATAGTTTTTCTTAATCTTCATGTTTTGGATGATCAACACAAATATCAATAAATTCCTGGATTTAAATAAAAAAACAAACAAACAAACATCCTAAATATAATGTACTTCAGTACAACTCCACCTCTGACTCTGGCCTCAAAAATTACCATACAGCTGAACCAACAAATGTATAACAAAACTAAGTATTACAAGCTTCAAACTATTAGATTTTCTGCAGAGCTGCTGTACTGGATTGTCTGCAATTGCAGTGATATATTTGAGACAAGAGGCCAAGACAGACAGGAGTGGGTTCTGCTTTAGGATGTCCCCTTTATCACACATAACTTTAAGTGTATTACTGTTTCTGTTTGCAGATGAGGGGTCAGCAAAGGAACTTCATCAGGTGGAGGAGTGCTGATGCTGAGCCAAAGCCAGGGAGAACAGAAGCCAAACAGGTGGACAGTCAGACAGACAGCGCTGCCCTGCAAAATCTCTCTGATGAGGTAAAACTAAGCCAGTGCACCAACCAGCCTCCTTTCATCTGACTCCACTACAGCTATGTCAATATATACAACATGACAAAATAAGCAGTTTCATCCATCTGCTGTCAAGTCACAGTCAAACATTATTATTTACAATCCTGCTCTAAAATCAACCTGATTCATAAGAACGCTACAGTGATACTGAGGTCAGTGCAATATCTAGATTAAAAATTCACATTTTAATATCATGATGTCAGTCAAAACACACTGGGAAATCAATTTCTGAAAGGGAAAAATAGGATATGCTAGTATGGGTGTATCTACCTATCTGTTATAAATACTGTGGAAAACAATTTTTGTCTGCTTTCCAGTTTCACAAGCTGAAGATGTCCATTGAAGAAAATCTTTCAAACTGTTCAAAGAAGACCACAGATACTGAGGTGGGCTGTGTCAGGGTTTTTCCCCATGCTATACCTCTTTTTTCTTTATCCACATATTCTGCTATTCAGTCTGTATAGACTACAGCATCAGCCAGTGGCGTCAGAAATGAGTCACAGGTCACTCTGGGTGAGGACACAAGAAAAAAAAAAGTCCATTTTAATGATACTGGATCTCAGGGTGACATAAATAAGTCCTTTTGGTCCAGGGTTAACATTTAATGCTTGAGACACAGTGTTGTGCATAAATCTATCCATTTATAAACATCATTTCTAGGCGAGTGAGCATCAGCTGGGTCACAGGGAGAGACTGAAGCAGATGAGGGAAATGGCAACGCTCCATGAGCGCCAGCTGGCCTTGATACATGCCGACAACCAGCAGCTGGAGCAGCAGAGAGACGGTGAGGAACAAATGCAGTCAGGTGTTTGAGACCAGTGGTGGAAAGTAACTTAAGTACATTTACTCAAGTACTATACTTAGGTACAATTTTGAGGTATCTGTACTTTACTTGACTATTTTCATTCTCTGTTACTTCATATTTCAACTTCACAACACTGAGAATTCATCAACTCAAAATTTCGCTTGACGTCAATGTCAGGGATTGTTCTTTGTGTGTGTGGGGGGGTGGGGGTTGTATTACTCATGTTGTGAGAGCATCATCTGTTTACCCAGTCACATTGTAGGGACTCACTTTGCTAATGGGGACAAAAAAAAACCTAGTCTCCATACTGTAAATCTTTCAGTTTTAGACTAAAAACTTGTTTATGTTTGGCTCAAAGTAGAGTAAAGTGTGAAGTAACAAGTATTGATTATTGTCATTATGGTTATTAAGGCTCCAAGAAATGAATGCAATTCATTGTAAGTGATGGAGACACGATTGTGTGTGTGTGTGTGTGTGTGTGTGTGTGTGTGTGTGTTAGAGCTGGCCCATCAGGTGAGTGTCCTGTCCGAGCAGAAGAGCACAGCTCATCTAGAGCATCTGCTGGTGGAGCTCAGAGAGCAGGAGGAGAGGAACGAAGAAACACTGCAACAACTTGCTGAACATCTCCGTGCGTTACAGTAAGTGTCTGTGTGTATAAGCCTCAGTCTATACTAGAGGTGCATATTTAGATTCTTTACTTAGGAAAAGAAGCAAAACCACAGTATCAAAAGTAAAAGTTGATCAAAATGGCCCCCTTCAGAGTGGGTTTTATCTATCCCACCTGATCAAAGCTGCAACATTTCTGTTTCACTAACAATGCTGCCAGAACACAAGTACAATAAGGAGTTTATTTAAGGTGTGTTTGTTAGGATGAACTGCATCTGCACTGATATAAATGTAGTATACAGAGAGAAATCACTGAATCTGCAGTGCTCTGCCACCAGGAGCAATATTCAGTGAAATCTGTTTTCCCCTGCCTGCTGGACAACTCATTGCAACATTTTTGGTAGAATAAGTTGAATTTCCTGCTGTAAGGTGGATTCTGGATGGAAGACTTTCCATATGTGCCAGAACAAGACCTAATTTAGCTGTTCTCCGTTTTTTTTCTGCCCTTTTTAGCATGCAACAGGTCTCCCTACCTGCTGATCAGCCAGATCTGCACAAGATGATGCATCGTGACTTTTTTGAGCTCATTTCCTCTGTAGATGCCCCCCTTTCTGCTCAGATAAAGTATGTATGTCCTTCAAGATTAAGTTATTTTAAATACACTGTTAGATAAATAACCCGCTTGTTGCCAGTAAGAACAATTTACAGATTCTGAATAGGAGTTCTGCTAGGCTGCCTGGTTATATGAGTGTAAATCAAGTTTTTGTTGCAGATCCCTGCGACAGGCATACATGCAGTCTGGTGGGTCAGATCCAGTTATTGTAGCACAGATGATTGACTTGCAGGCAGAAGACCAAACTCTGGAGAGGAACCAACCAGGAGCAGCTGCCAAGGCCAGGAAGAAGAGTAAGAATCAGAGTAATTTAGAACAGAAAATATGTCATGCTTGTTGTGTATAAGTCAGTCAACACAGCTGTGAAACTGATTTGCTCTATGGTGTTGATGGTTACGAGATACTGGTCCAGTGTGTCTGCACCCAAAATATGTATACTGAATGCAAAACAAGAGGAGTGTGTGTCTAGGGGCATAAAAAATAATATTGTACAGTTCTCTCATCACTCCATATTTAACATATGGAGTAGAAATTTGGGGAAATACATATAAATCTAGAACTACTCCAGTCTTTTTATTACAAAAAAGGTCATCAGATTATTAATTACACATTCTCCATATAATACCCCAACAATTCCTTTGTTTATTCAGTTGAAAACATTAAAATTTTATGACTTGGTAGACTTGTGTACTGCTAAACTTATTTATAAGGCAAAACAACAAACCCTCCCTCAGTCTTTGCAAGCTATGTTCAGCGTAAGGGAAAGTAATTATGACCTTAGAGGGACATATATGTTTAACAAACCATATTGTAGAACTAAATTAAGTAGTAACTGCCCATCTAATAAAGGTGTTCAGTTGTGGAATAGTTTTCCTGATGAAATAAAAATGGCTACTTCATTACCACAGTTTAAAATACTTTATAAAATAATGGTAATAAAAAGATATACTCAATAATGATAATAATAAGGAAAATAATAATAATAATCATAATGCATGTTCTTCTAGACGATTTCCTCTGTAATGTTGGAAAACAGCACCACCTTGTGGTACTTTGGCCACAAGACATGCAGGTGATGCAAACCTTGAATCATAAAATGACATAAATCAGTGCGCATGATTTAATGGCTCCAGGGTTTGTTTGTTTTCACCTTCCTCTTATTAAAATATTAGGAAATGTTTCTGGGCATAAATATTTCAATTGAGTTTCTATAAATCACCATTTTTTAATACACCGATCAGCCATAACATTATGACCACCTGCCTAATACCGTTTATATAGGGGTCAATGTGGCAGTTGTTTGGCACTCGTGTCTCTCTGCAGCTCACTGTGCATCTTCTGTGGATCCATTTGCTTCCACAGTTCTACTGTCAGGAAGAGCACAGAGGTGTCTGCAATTCAGTGGAAAACTTATGTAAAAGGAGTGAAAACTGTGGTCGTGAGGACAAGTTAGATTGTTTTAGACCAATTCAACAGCCTCCCCACTCTAGGTGTGATATCACCACTACAGCTCCTGACTCTTTCTCTTCAAAGAGACCAATGTACAGTATTTCTCATTTTCAACCATTTTAACAAAGATTCAAATCAATTTTAATATTTTTTAAAGTACAAATGGAAGTTAAAAGTTTAATCTACAGTAGGGCTGTTTCAAATTCAGTCAGTCTCAACTATGTCATGTTTGTGTTTTCCTTGTGGCAAAATTCTTAACCTGGAAAATATAAGTAGTTTATAGAAATAATCTCACCTTTTCTTGCCTCTTCAGGTATTTTTAAAAAATTTAAAGAGCATTTTTGAATTTCACTTTAATTAAAATATTTAAGTAACGGTGATGATTCTAAACCTTTTGTTGTCAAGGACCCCTACACAATGTGTTTCAAAACCTATTATAATGGGACAAAGCATGTATGAAAAACTACTAGGCAGCAGATAGGCAAATAATTGCATAACTGAGCAGCCAAACCTCTTAACTCAAGGTCCACTTGCTATTTTTTTACCACAGAGTTTAACTGCATCTAATTGTCTTGTTCAGCAGCACTGGTTCTTCTGATTGAAGCTAGTAAGTGGGCAGTGAGGAGACTAATAAAGGGAGATCAATCAAGACAAACAAACAAACAAAAATACAATAATGTATACTGTTATTGTAACCTCACCAGTGCAATAAACTGCATGATTCATGCTGTGTTTTGATGTTAGACTGTTCTCATGTAACACTAGAGGGAGCCCTATGCCTGCTGCGCAGATCGCACTGTCCAGGCCTCTCTGAATGACATCCTGCCAGAGTAGTCACTGCCGAATGCAATAAAGCACTTTGTTAATGACATTCCTGGGAGTGACTGGTACAGGGCCAGGGCAATCTTTACTAAGTATCTATAGAATTTTAAACCGTTTTGCAGCCATTTTGAGTCTCTAGACTAATGACTGCTTCATAATTATTTACCTACTGCATTTGTCTGTCATGACTGGAGAAAAATCTATCTCTCAGCTCCAGGCGAGGGCCTTCTCCTCTCCATTAGGAAGATGTGTGACAGACCCCCTGGACTCGCTGGGTCCAGCCCCCTATGACCCTGTGTCAGTTGAATTTTCTATAATGTCCACATTATATATTGACACCATATTAAACAGGTCATTTATATGTCTGAATTAGGGCTTAGACGCCTCACCAATCACAGCAAACCCTGTTTTCCATTTACTTTTTGTGGAACTGAGTCACATCCTGTGGTGTTTCAGGGCTGGTTTTGTTGTTTTCTTTGATCTGGTGATGGGAGTCGATATCTCTCAGAAGGCACTGCGTCTGGAGGCAGGTCTTTACTCAGAAGGTCACGAAGTGGGATCGCCGACTCCAGCGCCCCCTGTGGGGTGCCTGCTGGGAGTGTCTCTGCCATACTCCCAGAACCCTGGAAACCATGCCCTTCTGTCAGTCAAACAGCCTGTACCCAGGTAGGAGGCACCACCTAGAGAGGAGGAGCGGTGTTGATTATCAACCCAGTAAAGTGGCTGACTTAAAATATTTCAGGACCACAATAAATAGGTTTCAGAACAGAGTGGAGAGGGATATGACATAAACTTGTATTCTGGTCAAGGAAATACACTTCTCATTGGGGGAACGGTGTTAAAAAAAAAATCTTTGTCTTCTGGTTGATAGTTACTTAAAAGGCATGAGCTCGACCTCCTAAAAATAAACAGATAATTGTATTGCTGTCACAATAAACACTTTGCTCGTGGTATAAAATTAGTACACCATTATTTTAAACATTGAAGTAATATAAGTTCCTGAGAAAAAGGAAAAAAAAAAAAGGTCTAATAATCATAAAACAACAGAATGCACCTGCAGTTAGCCGTTGAACGTTCTAGTTACTAACATGCACAATGACCCTTCTCCCTGCAGGATCCATCCATCCCCCTCCCTCTGTCTGGTGGTTGAGGTGCAGGCAGCAAGAGATCTGGATGTTTCTAACCAGGAGGCCTCTAAACTGGAATCCTGTGGCTGGGCACAACTGGAACTATTTGATCAATACAACCAGGTCTACCTGCACATTTCTCAGATGATCTAACCGTCTACAATTTTTGCTCAGAGGAACAGTTTAACCATATGTCTGTCTGACCTATTACTGAATGTGGCTCTATATAAACAGCTCCGTAGCGGCTACTGGAGGGTGCCAGTGCGCAGTCTGCCCATTAGACCCTCCCTAAGCCTGGCCCAGCTCAACACTATACCCCAGGTATAAAGACCTGAACAGCTATGTTCAAATTCCTGTACACAGCAGGAGCTATGTAGTCTGTGCTGTTCATTATCAGTGAACATTATCAGATGCTATTTAGGTCTAAGTCTGAATGGAAGTTGTATGGCTTTTATGGTTTAGCCAGAATGTGTGTTTGTTAACTCTAGGTGGGCAACATGGAGCTGTGTGTACGTTTGGTCAATGGCCGTGATGGAGATGCACAGACTCTGGCGCAGCCTGACCTGACCAGCACCAAGCTCTATAAATACCCAGCTGTGGTAGGTTGGGTTCCAGAAAAAGTTGTTGAAAAATTAGTAAATGTAACTATTCTGTGCTGGAAGCCAAACTATCAAGATCAATTATAGTTAAATGTCAACACAATTGTTTAGCTGTCATCTTGAGGCAGAAAATGTCAACATCTATGATTAATACTTAGGTTATAAGAGTTAGTCAAACTATAGAAAGGAAGGATATGAAAAAATAATGATTCTGATACTTGGTGCATGCTGCAGACCTGTGTCATGACACTGAGGGACAATTACCTTTTGGCCCAGAGCCACATCATCATTGTCCTTGTGTCCAGAGGTGAAGCATCGTCCACGTGGTCTGAACTGGGAGCTGCTGGCTGTGGAGCAGGAGAACCAGAGACTGGAGGAGGAGATCCTCAGGATCCAACTGGCCAGGGACAGATGCTATGATGAAGGTTGGACAGTCTTTGCAATAAAGACACAGCTCTTATTAGACAGTCTGTAACAAGTGTGTGAGTTCAAGGGTAGGTGTTTCTTAATGATGTAAGATAACAACACTAAGCTCTTTCACAGGGATGTTGAAGAAGCACGTGAGTAGGGTGGAGTAAGTGTAAGTGGCATTTAATAACAAAAACATTAACATAACAGAGGCAAAGACCCACCCCCAGGGACTTAAACATCTCAAACTGAACAAGCAAGGCATTACAGGCATACCAAATAATTGAGCAATATAAAATATTGCAGTTATTACAACTCTCCCAATATCCCTTTAGATGCACAGAAACATCCCTAAGTACAGCAAACAGAATGTTAATTAGGGTAAAACAGTTGTACTTGTGTTCTGACTAGTTTCTAATACCCTGCCTCTCACTGCTAAGAGGACCTAATAATACAGACCTGTCTCCACTATCCCTCACTGAGCAGCTGATTATCACAGACAGAACAATGATACACATCACACACCCCACAGAGTAAACCCACAGGAAGGAACACAAACCAGCTAAGTTGTCAGTGTCATCTTCCTAACCTGATGAATCAGACTGAATCAGTGTCGCCTCACAGCAAGAAGGTTCTGGGTTTGAGCCTGGGCCGACCTGGGGCCTTTAGTATATACAGTACCAAAGCCTGCCTAAGCATTGCTAAACACTAAAATATATATGGGTCAGTAGTAATCACATACATTTGCTGATAGGATGTGTTGTGTTTGTTTTCCAGCAGCAGTGAGGACTGAACTCGAGCTGAGCTGGAAGAAGGAGCAGATTACTTCTCTAGAGGCAGAGATGGATCGAAGCAAAGAACCTCTGAGGCCCCGCAGAGAGCATCCTCTCTCACTCCAAAACAAAACACACATTCCTGCAGCTCCGGGGAATCTGGAATCAGGAGGCCAGTGGTCAAGCGCTTTCGCACACATAAGAAGATGCCTCAGCTTTTTGAAAGATCTGCAGGTCATTTCTGGGACCCTAAGTTTGACTCTTCAATCCTGGAGGAGGCCTGTAGAGAACGATGTTTCCCCCAAACCCAGCGGCGCTTCCGCTATGTGCTGTTCTACCTGGTTGCTGCTGGCCTCCTCTGGGGATTTTACTTTGCTGCCAACCCTTCCCGCTGTGATAGGATTGCTTTTCTCCTTCCCACTGCATCCTTCCTCCTTTTCTGCCTCCTCCTCTTCCTCTTAACTTTTACTAAGCTCTACTCATGCTGCTACAACCAAGCATCGCTATTGCTCATTGTTGTAACCTTCATCCTCACCCTAGCCCCTCAGATCCTGACATCAGGCTTCAAGGACTCAGAGACTCCCACACCTACACTTGATGTTGAGGAGTTCAGTGGCATGGGGCCTACATATAACCTGTCCTATGACAAGCTTGTGGGAGGTGGCACCTGGTCCCCCTGTCTTTCTCCTGTAGGCACCTTCTCTCTTTGTATTGAGGTTCTTCTGCTGCTGTACAGTGTCCTCCATATTCGCCTCTATGCTTCTGTCCTGCTTGGGTTCCTCTACTCTGTCTTTTTTGAGAGTTTGGGCTGGCTGCACCTGACACAGGCAGGAGAGAACTGGAGCATAGTGTCTCAACCAGACTGGGATATGCTAAGTTGGCTGGGCCCAGCCAAAGCTTTGCTTCACCTCTGTGCCCACGCCATTGGCATTCACTTGTTCATCATGTCTGAGGTACGGTCACGCAGCACCTTCCTTAAGGTGGGACAAGCTATCATGCATGGCAAAGATCTGGAGGTGGAGAAAGCCCTGAAAGAGCGCATGATACACTCTGTCATGCCCAGAATCGTGGCTGATGAACTGATGAAGCAGGGTGATGAGGAGATTGGTGACAGCTCTGGTAAACGATACTCTACAAGTGGTGCAGTAGCTGCCATCTCCAGCCCTAAAAGCAATAAACGCAAGAAAACCTCAATTCCTCGAGGCCAGATCATCTTCAGACCCTTTAATATGAAGCGGATGGAGCCCGTCAGCATCCTCTTTGCAGACATTGTAGGCTTCACTAAAATGTCCGCCAACAAATCCGCTCATGCCCTCGTGGGGCTTCTGAATGACTTGTTTGGGCGTTTTGATAGACTTTGTGAGCTCACTGGCTGCGAAAAAATTAGCACTCTAGGAGACTGTTACTACTGCGTGGCTGGTTGTCCAGAACCAAGACCAGACCATGCCTATTGCTGCGTGGAGATGGGCCTGGGCATGATTCAAGCTATTGAACAGTTCTGCCGGGAGAAGAGAGAAATGGTGAACATGAGGGTGGGTGTCCACACTGGCACTGTGCTATGTGGTATCCTGGGCATGAAGCGCTTCAAGTTTGATGTTTGGTCAAATGACGTCAACCTGGCCAATCTAATGGAGCAACTGGGAGTGGCTGGGAAGGTCCATTTATCACAGGCTACTGCCAACTTCCTGGATGACCGGTACCAGCACGAAGACGGACAGGTCAATGAGAGAATAGGACAGAGTGTGGTGGCTGACCAGCTCAAAGGTAGGTGCTAATAGTGTTATGTCCTGTCTCAAGCTCATGTTCTCTGTTGGCTTACCTTATGAAAAGGGTAGAATTTCTTGGTTTAACTATAACAAGAATAATGTATAACTTCAAGGTCAGCAGCAGTTGCTACAGTTTGAAGGCAACTCTGAGACTTGTCACTGAAATAATTCCTTCATGAGCCCACAAACCTTGGCATTTTAACTACTTAAGTGCCCTGCAATGTTTTCTTGTCACTCCCAGAGTAGATGTGTACTTATGCCAGCATTATCAGCAGTTCACCCCTCCCCTCCACCGTGTCTCTGCACACATTTAGTTCTCATGTTCAATTTCATTGCCTTCCAGGCGTCCTCAATGTGTCCTCTTCTTTTTACCTCACTCTGAACCCCAGGGATTGCTTTACAACTTACAGTAATGCAACTGTCACATGCTCTGACAGACTTGCCTGAAGGCCTAGCGTCACCTCTTTATCTTGTCCTGCCTTTTCCTTCCCTCTGGCACTGGATTTTTTTTTTTTTTTTTTTTTTAAAAAGCAAAGTGCTGTTATACCTTGTGTCAACAATGCAGGTGTCCACTCTTTTGGGCCATACAAGTGAGGAAATGCCAGGTTCAGCTCCACTGCCCTCAGGAGTGGGTCAGCTCTCCTCCCTGCTGCCAAACACCGACCAAAAGGACTCTCCACCCGCAGATGAATCCATTCAGGGTTAAAAAAAAAAATAAAAATTGAAAGATTAAAAATGCCGACTTGTGCATGGAAATGTAAAAAAAATTGTGTTTCAGTAGAAATACACAGGTCTACTACAGAAGCCCAAATATACAAGACAGGTGTCCAGAGTTGTGTAGCAGCACACTGTTTGGGGAAAACCAGACTACAATTTGGATTAACTGCATGTTTAAGACCTCAAACACTGACAAATGCCCACAGTGATGTTCAGATTTCTTGTTTAACCTACGGTGCAGATAGCCAATTAATTCCAAATACAGAAAATGTTTACAACTGAATTTTGTTCGCCGAGATTAAAATTGTGGGTAATCAATGAAGACTGTAGCACATATTGCTCAGATAGAGCATTTGTACAAATATACAGATGGATTTTTGTGCCAAAACCTGATCACGTCAAGCTGTGTGAATAGTATTAACCAAGGTTAACTAATGCAAGTTACAAAACCACTGCTCACCAAACCCACGTTTTGTTTAATCTTCCAGGAAACCTACAGTCAGCATCTAAGGTTTCTTCGGCCACAGTCACACACAGAGAAAGAAAAGTGTTGATACAGAGTTACAGCTGCAAATTCTTTATTTCTTTTACTACAAGTATACAAAAATGGACAGACAAATCATGAAAATGGATGTTATTTACAGAAACAAGACTGCTGAAGATTGAGGAGCCAACAGGCATGCTGTGCTGGTTTTGAATATCAGGAACAAAACATGGACTGGTCATGCTGAAGACTCGACGGAGGCTGATTGGTTGGCAGGCTACAAGGAACGCAGAAAAAAAAGTTAACAGCAATTAAAATGTCATTAAATTCCTTCCAATTTCCCCAGATGGCATTTCTGTAGTTTTGAATGGGAGGAAATATTCCTCCATACATGTAGATTGCAACAAGTCAGCTTGTCCAGCTGCTGGAAAACCTCCTGAACAACTTAGATGTTTTCTGCTCCACTACAAACTTTCTGGTTTGTCTATCCCTTCCATCTGGGCAGGTACAGTACAGCGCTCTTGTTTGAATACTGTCCTACAAAAGGCATCAGTACATAAAGACATGAGCCCATCACTCGCCTCCTGTGACTCCCCCTCCTGGACTCCACTGCCATTGCTGGCACTAGAGTCACCGCTGCCATTAACTGAGGCTTCCTGTTTCGCTTGTTTAGTATCAGTGTCCTTTACTGGGCTCTCCTCTGGTTTCCTCTGTAAAAAACACAAAACCAGGACAAGGGGAGAAGACTGAAGGACTCTACACCATTATAGTCCACGCAAAAACAACCTTACAGGTTGACATCAGCCCATAGCAAAGCTCAATTTCTACTGCTAACCACAACAAAAGCCACCCCACACACACACTCTAGCTTAAGGGATTTGCAGAAAGCCATGACGCACCAAAGGAGGCAAGCACACAGATGATTTTAACTGCAATATTTTGTTTTTCCCCAGTGAAAACTGGGGTGTCATCTGATTTTGGCCGACTTTGGCGCAAATGACGACTGAAGTCTTTAATCACAAGAGCTTCACCTTTTTCCTGACGAGGTGAGAGATGTCTGAGATGGCTTTGGAAGATGAGGCACTATCAGACGGTGTAACTGGAACCTGAAATTGAAGAGTTTGGTTTGACTGCTGTATGTCATGCTGCATACAAAGTACAGCTGTATGGAACAGTTAAACATGCTCAGTCCTCACCTGGCTGGCTGTTGCAAATGCTGAGGAAGATGAAGGACCCCCATTTTCACATAGGAATGCTGATGAAGTCGAGGCACCACCCTATAACAAATGAGTTGGTTACTCAGAGCCCAAGTTGTCAGTTTGCTCTGTCATTACAGTTACAGTATATGAAATGGATTTTAGACTAGTAAACAGCAAAAAGATGCACCGATAGCAGTGTTGTCTGACAGCAAACAAGACACTAACCAATAATTCCTTCAGTGTGCCCTATTTGATGTAATTTTCCTTTCTCCAAGGTGTTTCAGCAGGCTCCTATGTGCCGTTCGTACACTAAATAATGTGCGAGTCTTCCTTGGGGTGCATGTGGGATTCTACACATGCTATGCTTCTGTCTGTGCCACTGCATGTGCAAAGTGGACTGTTGTGCCTCTAAATCAGACATCTCAGGGAGATACCCGGTCATACTGAAAACTGGGCATATGTAAACATTTTTTATACTTTTCAAAAAGGAAAAAGTTTAAACCTTAGATGATTTTCAACCTTTAATCAGCACACATTCCCATCAGTCCTATGTACCCACTAGTGTTTGCTGGATGGCCTGGGAGGCAGTGCTGGCTGTTCTCTCGCTCTCCTTAGCATCCTCCACCTTTTCCCTGATGTCAGGCAGAAGCTGCTTCAGCTCTTCCATCTCATTCTTGTCTTCTGATGCGGCATCTGCCCCCTCTGCTGCATCTATTGCTTCCTGTAACATGGCTACACAAACAATGAGTGAACTTTGTGTGTTTTTCCCACTGTCACTGACTTTCTGCCAGTCACATTTTTATCTAACGATTTATCACAGATACGGTTTGGAACACTGGTGTTTAGACGAAGATGATCTTACCCAGACGGTTCTCAATGACTTTTATGGAGCTGTTGTAGTGCTGGATGGCCTGGTTGTACTGATCCATGTAGCACAGTGTGGTGGCAACATGGTAGTGGGTCTCAGCCAGAAGACGAGTGTGGGGAGGCAAATGCTTCAGCTGCAGGGCGAGACACTCCTGGAAGTCTTCTAACGCCTGAGGGTAGTTACCTGGCAAAGACAATGCATAACATAACATAATTAGTTGCTACTCTAGTGGTGAATGAAAGCAAAGTTTTTTGGGGGATCATATGAAAGGCAACAGTTGCAAGCCAACCCTGGAAACCAGTCTGCTGTGTGAAACCTACCTGATTCAGCACTGACTTCTCCAAGTTTTAGATATGCCTGGGCTGCCATCAACTGGTCTTCTTTGGTTTCCTTTCTGTGGGCAAGAGTAAGAAATTAACTACATGAAGTCCAGATATGAATGAGGTGGCCACACAATTATTCATCTCTCCAGTCACTTGTTACATGTTAGTGGACTTCATTGTGCACTGCTGTTCTTAAACAGTGTTGCCATTACCTTGTGTAAATGACTTTAGCCACTTCCAGCATCTCCCAAGCCAACTGCAAATTGCCAACTTCCTCCTCTTCCTAAGGAAGGCACACATTAAGAGCTAAATATTCAGAATTATGTCCAAGACGACTTCAACGCACAGGACTCACCTTGCCCTGTCCATTTTTCTCTTCATCCTCTTCGTCTTCATCATCATCATCATCATCATCATCATCATCATCTGTGGGAGCAACAGGATTAAGTTCAGAGCTTTCATTTTTCCTGTAGCAAGTGAAACAGTGCTCCAAATAAAAGGTTTCCTCAAGAGTACAGTAAACATGCGCCAGTGTGTTCCCCTTCACCTTTTGTAAGACCAGTTAATGTTGACAGTTCTGTCAATACCAAGCCTGTGCTCCACCCATACAACAGTGCTCTGTCAATACCAAGCCTGTGCTCCACCCATACAACAGTGCTCTATATCCAGACATTTACTGCCCTCTGAAGACTCCTTGTCCTGCTCAGCCTCAGATTCTTCATCTTGTCCTCCATCTGACTTTGTTGCAGTCACATCTCCCGTCTGCTCCTTCACCTTCTCCTCTGTCACAGTTTCCTCTCCATGAGACCCAGCAGCAGGACTCTCTTCCTTAGCATTCACAGGAGCACCTGGAGTCTTCTCAGCTTCCTGGAGTGAGCTCTTCTCTTCGCTGCTCACAGGAGATTCTGAGGGTTGCTCTGATCCAGTCACACTTTTGACTGGGGACTTCACACTATTTTCTTGTGTCACCTCAGCAGTACCCGTTGGCTCTTCAGACTCCAGGTTGCCGTCAGCTACCCCAGTCTTTTCCTCCTCAGCCATTGCATCATACACCTGCTTTCGCAGCTCATCTCTAGTTTTTTCTGCACCAGAGTGGCACATGAGGAATTATTTTGTATTAGTTAAAAAAAGTCAAGCACTTCCTGACAGCCTGATTGTTCAACTCCTGTGCATTTTGTCATAAGAAATTTGTATTACAATGCCATCTCAAATAACCACACTGACCATTAAACTCAGGTTTTAAAGTGCAGCAAGCCTAGTAATCATTCATGTTGGCAACAGAGGCAGCCAGGTTATTTAGAGTTCATTCTGTGAGATGGGGTTTGATAACAAATGACACCTCAAAGAAAACTGAGAAGTAATAGAATTGACCTTAACTTCCAACCAGAAATGAGACACTTGTCTCAATCAGGCAACCCCTTGATAACTTGAAATACCAAAAGACACCAACCATCAAGCTTGTTTGCACTCTCAATATTGGAATTTTCAGGCTGCTCCTCTTCCTCTGATTCTTCTGGGACTCCCTCCAGCGCATTCCCAAGGACACTGTTCTCCATCCTAACCGAAACAAAGACAATTAGGTTATCAATCCTTTAACACAATAACTTCTGGAAAATACCACAATAATCACTTTCACAGTGATGCAATCAGCTTTGTCTCGTCCTTACCAAAAATCACCTATTACAGTAAAAACTTAAAATGTTAGCAACCTACATTAACCAACCTGGCAAGCTCAAGTAGGGACTTCCCACATAAGAAGAAGGCCTCACCACACTCGTATGCAGTTTCCCCATACTTTGCAGCACTGGCAGAAAGACAAGTGAGGAGTGGTGCAAGTTTTATTACGAGGCTCAGAAAACACCCTTAAACATCCCATTCATTTCAAACTTTCAATTTTTCACAGGATGGCTACCTATTGGCATATACAAACAAATAGTGAGCATTATTTTCCAAGCCGAATTAATAACAGCTCTCTCTCCTCAGGTACTTACAGCATGCTGCAGGCGTCCTGGAAAACACTGACAGCAGAAACCACATCTCCCATCACTAAATGCCTGTTTCCTGTGCCAATCAGTTTTTTAGCCTCCTCCATGACGTCGACAGAGCTGCAGGGGGAACAAAGTTGTGCTCTATACTGACATGGAATGAACTTTTGTGCATTTGCGCTTCTTTCTTTTAATAAGAATGGACTAACTCACATTTACAATGTTTCTTTTTGCATAGATAAAAGACGCAGTCAGTTGTCAACGAAAACACATGCAGAAGAGTTAGTTTCGCTTAACTTAAGGACACGCACCTGTCTGCTGCAGCTGATGATGAGCATGGCTTCTCCTCCGCACTGCAAGAGTTCACATTAGTGTTAAGGCAACACCCATACGAGTCACCTGACTTCAATGAAATAGTTACGACAACCACTGTCAACGTTGACCCAGAGTTCAGGTTACGTCCGTAAATGTTTACCTACGGCTTATTAGTACCGTATGGTTTAGCCAACTAGCTTTTATGGCAGTGCTATCCTTTAACAGTTTGCAATCGCCGTCTGTTCTAGTTACCAACCCCATTACTTCAATAATCACCGTGAATAGCTGCACACTTGCATAATCTAGATAAGTTAACAACCAACGCTAAACACAAGGTCGTCAACGTTAGCCGTGTTGTGTAGCTAAAAAGCTATCTTGCGAGCTGTGTTTTTTCGGTATTATACAGTAAACAAGTAAAAACGACTCGTACCTCTTAGAGCTGGGTGCTGTAGACGTTTCCTCTGGCATGTTTCAGGACTACAGAAAAGACGGCGGAGAGCTAGCAAACAAACGACCTAAAATACAAACGATCTGTAATAGTCTTTGTTGGCGCGCTTAAATAGAGAAAATAAGACTTCCTATTTCCGCTTAACCTGGAACGCGGGAGATTGGAGTTAAAGGGACCGCAGTAAATATCATGACGCGTTCAGGTACCGCGTGGCTTCAATTTAGCATAAGGTCAGAATCTGGCAAAAAAAAATAAAAATAAAAAAATAAAATAAAATAAATTTCACCGCTGGCGTGATCTGTGTACATTAACGTTACATGAAAGTTCTCAGTACGTTTTCAGGTCATTAAATAAAAGTACCAGCACAATGTTAAAATCGAAGTTGAACTGTCGTGAATTGAAAATGTTACTTAAAATAAAAGTATGTCAGCATAATAAAAGTATGTCTTACAAAATCTAAAGCATAATCATTTAGGAGAAAAGAAAAAGTAGAAAGATGGATTTAGCCATTTGATTGGCAACGGAAAGATGGACTCTGGCATGTGATTGGCCGTTTGATTGGCACAGGAAATATGGAATCTGGCATGTGATTGGCCGTTTGATTGGCACAGGAAAGATGGAATCTGGCATGTGATTAGCCTTTGAAAAATGGAACCTGTATATGTGGTTGGTTGAATTTATACACTATGCTTTGCTTGACAGGTAGCAAGCGCCAAACGTACGCTGTAACACATGAGGACTTGATAAAATATGATTCTGTTATAGATTAAACTACAGAACCTATCTATAGGGTATATGTGTAGAGCTGAAAAAGTTTAGTCAGTTAATTGACAACCTACAATCAGCCACTGACCACACATCAGAATGTTGAACTCGTTCATTATCCCAAATTTTCGCGTTATTTTCTGAGAGCCAATGTTGAACTCGTTCATTATCTCAAATTTTCGCGTTATTTTCTGAGAGCCTCGTTGGCGCAGTAGGCAGCGCGTCAGTCTCATAATCTGAAGGTCGTGAGTTCGAGCCTCACACGGGGCAGGTATTTTTTTCCTTAATCCTCTTGCAGGATGTTGTTTTTGGAAGGCGTGACAGAGCGACAGTTTCGAGCCTCACACGGGGCAGGTATTTTTTTCCTTAATCCTCTTGCAGGATGTTGTTTTTGGAAGGCGTGACGGAGCGACAGTTTGGGTAGATGTATTATATCGCGGTTAACTGATTGTTGGATTGTCCATGTTGTCATAGTTAAGCTAAGACAACTAGCGAGTTAACCTGCATTTGTCAGTTACATTTTGGTCTCATGTTGGAAAACCCTTTGGGCCTCTTGATAAAGTAACATAAATAAATCGTCTTTTTGTCAAATTGTTAACAAAGAAGGGTCAGCTACTTAAGTGACCTACACTAAATGCAGGATACTTAGCTAACAAGTTGCATCAACATTGTTTATAATTGTTATGACACATGTTGTTACAGTTTCGTAAGTTTCTTAACAGATGTTTGCAAATATTGCCAAGCTATTTTATAATATGTTCTCCAACGAAACAGTATTTTGAGTGCATATATCAATAACTCAGCTGGAGAGGGAGAGAGAGAGAGTCGGAGAGAGAGGAGTGTCGGTTAGCCTGGCGCTGGGCTCCAACACAGACTCACTGGCTGCAGATGAAGTTTTCAGTCACACTTACCGTACGAGACCACTAGGAATTCATACGAACCATCCAGACTCTGTATCTTCTGACTGAGATGTTGCGATGTTCCGTGCAGTCTTACAAAACGTGGATTTGTTTGGGGTGATTTTTCTGTTTTGCGCTTTTTTACAGGAGAGCGGCTGCAGATCGGCCGATGCAGACAGCTGTCATGAGGTGAAGACAGCCTACATGATGCGCCAGATAGGTCCGGTGGAGCTGGTGCCAGACAGACCGGGAACAGGTCAGTCAGTCTCTAGAAATATAGTAGAAATTCAATAGGAGACTCGAAGTACTTGAACTAATTGAACTTCACTTAAGTATCTACACTTTATGCTACTTTAAACTGTATCTACTAAAGTAAATATTGTAGCGTACATGTTACTTTGCAGATCAAACTTAAGGAGCGGAGACGGGGGATGATTGTAACACGATTTCTTTGAGCATCACTAACTCAGTGCCTGTGACATTCCTGTAATGTTACTGTTACTGGAGGCCCCTGAGCAGACCTAAAACATCCTGGATATACAGCATTTCATGTAGCTTGGGAATGCCATGGGATCCCTCAGCTGGAGCTGGAAAATATTGCTGGACGACCTGCTGCCACTGTAATCTGACTCTGGATAAGTGTCAGAAAATGGATGGATGTTACTGTTATCACTGCACTGGCTGGCAGTGGGCCTTGTGCTTGTTAACAGCTAGTTAACACCATATTATATATGGACCTTAGCAATCTCTGTCGGATATTTCTGTTCATTCTAACTGCAGGATCTGTGCACCAGCTTTTAAGAGCATCCCTGGAAGTTAGAATCCTTCCCTCCAGCAGTCACTGATATGCTGCAACTATCAATGAATTATCTTGAGAGAGATGTAAATTTTAGTAGGGTTTACATATAGATGATTGGATGTTTGATTTAAGATGCCCACACATCAACTTACATTTAATTGGAAAAATGTGTCACTCACCAGGCTGTCACTATCATTGCTTCCAGGTTTCAAGTGAAAATTAAAAAAAGGTCGGTGGTTCATGTGAAAACTATCCAGCATCAAACATATCAGACAACAAACATATCTAAGCTATGCAGCATATTTAGCTGATGAATAAATGCTGAGACGAGAACAGCGGTCACTGCTGGCCATGTTAGTTTTGGAGTGACTGTTTCCAGGCTTGAATCTGAGATTGAGAGGTGAAGTTTGGCTGCATGAGGCTTCCTGTTGAGAAGTCGTGGATACATCGTGCATGATCAATAAAACTCTTAGTGTCTGCCTGGTTTTCCATCCTACATCCTGCTGCTTTGGTCTGTCGAGATGACAGGGAATCACTTCAGAATTCACTGAACCTCAAACCCACATCCTCAGAATGTCCAAGGAGGCCTCCAACACACACCTCCAGATTTCACAAAGGATGAAAACTTTAGAGCAGCCTTTAGACATCCTAGGCCATTTGGTCACACATGTCTGAGCTGTATTTTTTAGAGCTTTGAGCCTTCACTTTAGGTGTTGAACATCAACAAAATTAAACATTTAGTAGATATGTAATTATTTCTATTAATCACTAAATAATATTATTCAAGGTCATAGTAAAGTTTTCTAAAAAAAAACAACAACCTATGCCTTCCATTTGCCATTCTGTGTTGGATTTACCTTCTCTGTTACTGAAAATATACAATGTACAATTATACTGTTTACCCAGGTCTGAAACTATTTCTCGTGTCTCTCTCCCTCAGATGAGTCTCTCCAAGTGTGTGTCCACCCTGGACTTACATGCTGTACGAGTAAGATGGAGGACAGCTACATGACGGCTGTTCGCAGTGAGACGCAGCAGAAGATGCGGTCCTACAGCTTCGAACTCAAGTACCTTATTGCTGGACACACCAAGGCCTACAAAGGTGGGGGCAGGAGATAGAGTTATAGAAGGAGGAAATGGTGTTGATTTTCCATTTATTGCTGAAGAGAAAAGGATATCGGAGAATTGGGAAAAGGACATTTTTCATTTGCTTAGGAAATCCCAAAAAAAAAAAAAAATCCTGTCATATACGTATTTTCTTGCATTTGAACAAGTGCTGAAACTGGTTATAGAAGAGCGAATCAGTTAATCTGCAGTTTTGGTAACTTGTTACTTATAGTTGAAGTCAGTTTTTAAGCAAAAATGACTTGGTTCCTGTTTTTCACATATGAAGAATTGCTGCTTTTCTGTGATATATTTCATTGCGAGGTGAATATCTTTGGATTTTGCATTGTTGATCGGATAAAGCATGGAATTTCTAGACTTTAGATTTTCACTATATTGTGACATTTTTCATATAAAAGAAGATTCAGGAACCTAAATCCAGGAAACTTCAATAGCAGTGATGATTTTGATGTTTAAACAGTTTTGCCAGGTGTCTCTAGGCCCCTGTCATTCTCGTGGTGGGTGTTCATCATGAAACAGCTAGTTTGTGGCAGGGTGCTGATGTGAGGCCATTTTATTTTGTGAGGCGCCACAGTGGCTAGCCAAACAAACAACTGATGTTCGATTGAATCTTTGAGAGAGCAAACTCTCAGAGGGAGCAGCGGAAAACTTTGTTACAACTCTCCTCTCGCTTTCTCCGTCTGTCCGTCTTTGTCGCTGCAATAATCGGGTTTTGTTCTTGACCAATGAGAAAGCGACGGACAGAGAATGTTTACATTCAGTACGTATCTGCAGCAAAGTGTTGTTGCCGTGGGCAACAGCCAGTCTCTGCTCTGAATAGGAGGAAGAATACTCTGCTTGTCCACTTGTCTCTCAACACTATTCACCAGTCTGTGTGAGTGTGTATGTGTGTGAGAGAGTGACCTTGTGCATGTGTGTGTGTTCATGTAGTGCGGAGATTATGAGAGGGAGAGAGCAGATGAAACTTAGCAAAAAGACATGGCAAACATGTCCCTCTCTGTTTTCTTTTTTCATTGCTCAGTCTCTCACCTTCTTGTCCCCTGCTACATCAGAATGCGCTCAGTTTCAGTTTCAGCTGCTACTTCTGCCCAGTGGAAGGCTAAACCATCCATGGGTCAGATTAATGCAAAAGACCCACACATGGAGGGCCCTAACTGCAGCAAGTAAGAAGACACAGCATGAGGATTTCCTACATGTACTTGAATTTTAGCAGGTTTAAACAATACAATAGTTTATTCATCCAAACCACACATGAAGAAAAGATCTTTTCTCCCCAGAGACATTATATCTAGCCATGCAGATCATTTTATATGCCCAAGTTTTGAGCTATCTCTGGACAAGTAAAATCAAAACCTCCTTACTGGCAAGTGAGAATTTTTGGAATTTGGTTGAACCTACTCTTTAATGAATGAAATCAATTTTGCACAGCAGCAGAGTTCTTCAACAGCTGAGCTAAATCTCATAGGACCCTCTCTCTAAATCAGAGTGATTATAACCCACTAGAGACACTGAGACATGCCCAGAGCGGCTATAGTCGGGCTCTGTTTACACCCCATGGATCACTTTAGTGTGAGAGCTTGTGTGTGTCTGTGTGTGAATATGTCTGCATGCTTGTGTGTGTTTTTTCTGGTGCTCTAAGACCCTTGTGCCCTCTGCTCCATGTCGCAGCTGTTGTCCAATAACATAGAGTAAAGAGCTAATCACATGACCCCAGAATAAACTTTGCAGTGTCACCTGATGCCGTCTGTATTTGAGTTGCTATTGCCAGGACATGGGTATGCAAACACATAACATGAGACATTCTCACTCGGTGCTTTAGTATTAAGAGCCCTGTCGCTGCTGCTCCACTGCTTCATTCCCTCTAACGTTGTTCTCCACTCACTTTTTTTTCTCATCTTATTTTATCTGCTCAAGTACAGTTGACTATGAATATAAAGAATTGCAACAGATATCATGTCAGTGTTATATAAGGTCACTTTTACCTAAATAAAAATTAGATGCACTGTCCCTAAATTCTCCCCACATTCCCATCACCTGGAGAGTCACGTGGCTGCAGCTGCGCTGGTGAAATACAAAGGTGTTAAGTCATGAATGCTTAGACATGCAATGTGATTGACATGGTGAAAGTCAGATAAAGGTTTCTCTCACTCTCTCTCTTACTCCCAGTAGTCTCCCAGTGTGTGTGTGTGTGGATGCCATCAGACTGACATAATCTCTTTTACTTGGCAGGTTTCATCCATGTTCACAAACACAAGCATACTGCCTCCGTTAAGGGGAAGGTGCTGTCCACTTTATTAACATGTGTGTTACACTGGTAACATGCACCTATTTACATGCAGTACTGGAGTTAAAGTACTTCCAGTAAATGTTACTTTCCACCAACAGTAAGATGTATTTAAGGTACATTTTACACACCCAGAAGAATTGGTGTGTTACCCTCATTATGTTGACCAGTGATCACAGAAGAGGAAAGCACTCAAAGACAAGGAGTCACTTGTCATACAGTGATAGCTCGTCACTGAGTGCAGTCCTGTTTTGTTATCATTGTAGGTGTTGTTGCAAATATTAAGCGTCTGATGATTTTGGCTTGAATATAGAACTATCCATTCATCCATCCATCCATCCATTATCTATACCGCTTATCCTGAATAGGGTTGTGAGGGGGCTGGAGCCAATCCCAGTTGACATTGGGCAAGAGGCAGGTCCACCCTGGACAGGCCGCTAGTCTCTCACAGGGCTGACACTTAGAGACAAACAACCACACACTCACTCCTATGAGCAATTTAGAGTCACCAATCAACCTAAGCTGCATGTCTTTAGACTGTGAGAATACACCTGATATGCTAACTGTTAAATTCATTTCTCTTGCTTTTTCTGATGCTCCAGAGACCTTTGAGTCGCTTCTGACCTTGACATCAAACCTGACCAACACTCTGTTCGACAGCGCCTACTCTGGTCTGGCGTCCGACTGTCGTCCACTTGTGTTTCAGCTGTTTACTGGCATCAAACGCCACCTCTATGGAGACACAAATTCTTCACTGCACAACACTGTGCGTCGATTCTACGATGATCTTTTCCCTTTGGTCTACCACCGTCTCCTCAACCCTGGAATCGGCCGCATATCATCCCTGTCCTATTCCTCCACCTCTACCAATTACGACGACTGCCTGCGGTTGACACGGCAAGATGTCAGCCCGTTTGGACCCCACCCTCGCCTCCTGGTCAGTAACCTGTCTCGGGCACTTGGGGTGGGCCGAGCACTGAGCCGACTGCTGAGACTGGCTGGAGAAGTTATGAATGCGACCGAGAAGGCAACGTTATCCAGAGAGTGTGGTCGAGGCTTAGTGAGGATGCAGTACTGCTCCCACTGCAGAGGGCTGACACTGATACGGCCCTGTACTGGTCTGTGTGTTAACATTATGAGAGGATGTCTGGTAAGTGTTGGAATTTTGTGCTTTTATTCTTTGGATGTGCCCATCTGTTTTGTATATATATATTTATGTTTTCATTATATTGTATACTGTGACGACCGCTGGCTCGGTTGAGAGGAGCTGGCCTGACCCTGTCCTATACTTGACAGTTAACTAGCCAGCAGTGTGCCGGCACCTGGCTCAACAAGGAGGAGAACACCTGGTTTGTCTTTTGTGGTTTTATTGAACGCGGTATCGAGACAAATGAAAACGCTGTCTAAACTGGCACCATGTGCTCTCTAAAGAAAATAATAAAAGAATAAACAACACATCTCCCAGAACTTCACCATCGCCCGCCAACAGAACCAAAAAAAACACGCTCACCTGTCATCCCTCTTATCTCCTCCTGCACCTGTTCCTCCCCCCATCCCACATTGGCCAGAACAGCGCGGCATTTCGCAGAAAACAGCGGTAATACACACAGTAAGTCGTAACCAATACATGCACAGCTTTCACAACAGTGTCAAACCCATTTGCACACAACAGAACACACAAACATTGGCGGCCGGTCAGGGTCGCCACAATATTGTGGGCGATATGAACGCAAATATATCAGATAAGGATTCTGTTTTTGCAAAGCATATGTTGCACTTTTGTGCCGATAATAATTTGATTTTGTCTAGCAGTGAGTTCCTGCCTAGTCAGAGCTTTACATATATTTAGAGACTGGGGGAAACAGAGGGAACCAGCAACCCTGGCTTTGTCCAAAGTTCAACAATAGCCACTCCTACCAGCACCTCTAAATTTTGCCAACACGTTATACGGTTGTTTAATATGTATGCAAAAAGAAATGTAAAATACTTTGTGCTGTAAGAAAGTAAAGACACATGTTAGAGTTTGGAGATTTGCAGAAGTTCAGTTAATGTTATTCTTTTCAGGTCGTGTATATTGTAGATGATGCTGTTTTAGATGCATGGGAGGCTTCGGGGAGTAGTGGCTCTCTCTGCCTCTGCTGAGGCAAGTAATGTTGTTGTATTGGTCCCATCTCTCACATTACTGAATCAGTCATTCACAGCAGTTTATCATTAATAAATTGTTCACACATTAAGTTTTAGACAAATGACAAGAGCACTGCCAAGAGATTTGGCCCTGTCCTCCCTGCGTATTACTGGGCTGCTGCCGGGCAGCTTTAACAGTGCCAACAATAGAGACTTCTTTATAGCACAAAACTGGAAGAAGACACTGTTCATCCCCCTTGAGGGTTTCTTGGCAAAGAAAGTGTGAAGGAGAGACAACTCTCAACATGTTTATCCTATTCAGTAAAGTAAAGGAAAGAAAAACACCAGTCCCTATTCTAGACAACCCTATTAGGTAAAACAACAACAAAAACAATACGATGACATTAAGTAAATTCTAAGGTATAATATAATTGTTTTACATTTCACATTTTGATTTCATATAAGGAGTAAATATTGATTAACGATGTGTCCACTAAATTGGATATCATGCATCATCAGCTATATTTCGGCAACAAGTGTGTACCATCGCAAAAGCTTTGTTGTTTTTAAAATCTATTACCTTCAGTAACTTTTTAGGCAGTATCACTTTGTTGTGCTGCACAGTACATTTTTGAGGTATGTGTACTTTACTTGAGTATTTTCATTTTCTGCTAATTAATGCTTTGACTTTTCTACATTTTAGAAGCAGATATTGAACTTTTTACATCACTACATTTATTTGATATCTTTAGTTACGTTTCAGAATCAGATTAGCTATACATAAAACATATACAGTACATATAAACAGTATAATCATCAGACTTTATTGATCCCTGGTGGGAAATTCACAAAATACCCAGCAGTAATTCAGTCCATAAGCATATAAGTCAGTTAATGTCACGTTTACCAGCTGTATCTTTAAATGTGATGTACACAATAAACCATCAATAATTATAATCTAATAATATGATGTACATTAATATAAACTGTACCATTCAGCATAATGAATACTTTTACTTTTCGTGCTTTAATCAGAAGTATATTTGAACTTCCTTGACTTATGTACATTTAATTAAGTAGCATTTCAAATGCAGGACATTTACTTGTAACAGAGCATTTTTACACTGTATTATTGCTGCTTTTACTTAAGTAAACAATCCAAATACCTTTTCTACCTCTGGCTACACAGTTCTACATTGTTGGCTTTTCCACTGGTGTGAACAGTATAAGATGTTTAAATATGTTAGAATGTTTGTTAAACAGCAATAAAACTAAATACAGGGTTCTTTTCATTAAAACTCAAACTCAAATGCATGCAGACCACCACAGTGGACATGTGAGTAACTTTCTGAAAAAAAGCTTGTTAGGCAAAAACTTTAATAAACTTTTTTTTTTTCAAGCCTCGAGAAAAGAAAAAAACAGGAAAAAATCCCGAGTCAGGCTGTGATAATTCATGCGTGAAATGGTCAAGGCTAATGCAGCCTATTTAAGACAAGGTTTCACTTCTCTCTACCTTTCCACACAGCCCCACCCTGTAATCTTGCTCCTCAGTTCTCCTTTTTTGCTGTCAAACCTTCATTCTAGGTCAGTGTTGCAGAGCTTGGTGGCCCCTGGGGAAATTTGGTGGTACTGCTCCAACGGATAGCTGCCACTTTAGCGACCAGCAGCAACCACAACAACATGGAGTTAGCTCTGTTAGCAGTGCGAAACCATGTGAATGACGCCATACTACATGCTCAGCTACACGGGCCACACATCACAGCCACAGTAAGCAGGGTGCATGATGGTTTGAAGGGGAGGAAGCACAGTAAAGGTCGAGATGTCAAAATGCACTGATAATATATTTGCAGAAATAATGTGTAAAATTGGTTTGTTACACTCTATATACTTAAGGGACTAATTAAATGTTATAAATGTTATACTGAATAAAATCAAGTGCTTAAAACTAAATCGGGTTCCATAACAGAATGATAAAGAATCCTTACTCATACACCCTAATAATAAAGTCATTTGAATTTTGGACACAGAGTGAGGAAGGCTGTGGGTTTCTTTCAGCTTGTCTTGGATCTCATCACAAAAACCTTGTACCTAGATGGGCTAAAAACAGCCTCATTCTTCAGAGGATCTGGGGTTCCCCTCACTCCCCTGTGAGTGTGAATACAGATCTAGTGCCAGACAAAGACTGTGGTTGGCGGGACAACCGATACCCAGAATGCAGCTTGAGAAAGTTTCTGTGGCTAATCTCTGGACAAACAGGCGACACACAAACAAATGCATGCATGCACACACAGTGCTGGAGAAAGAGAGTAGCCGTGAAAGTTTGAGAGATCTTTGTGGACTTAGTAAGAGTAGATTCCTGAGAGAGAAACAAATACACATAAGAATAACTGCATCACTAATTGTAAAAATACCACTTCATTAAATATTTGATCTGCTTTTCATTCATTAGACACATCATGTCATCAAAAAGTGGTTTGTGTTGTGTTCCACCATGTTGGGTTTTTACAAAAATTCGCTTGGTTTGCTGGCCCAACAGGACATTTTTTTACGTTGCAGTTTTCATTGCAGCTTCAAGTTCAATATTATGTTCAAAGTTTACATACGTTTTTGTAATAAATGGAATTTAAGGGACATGTTAGAAATACTAAATACAGTGCTAAGTCTATGAATATGAAAATGATCAAAGTCAAAGAATCGAGTAGCCTATAGCTCTACATTAGTGATTCCCAACCTGTGGTACTTGTAGAGTTCTACATTGGCCAAGGGTTAAACTGACTCTGGAGCTTTTTCAGATTGTTCCTCTGAAAAGCAGCCACAGAATCAGTGCTTCCTAAACTCTACGCTGCAAACTGTCTCCTCCTCAGGTAGAGAAGGTGTGTGGTCCCCAGGCAGCTGGCCCCATGATGGCAAGTGTAAATCCTACCACCTTGCATGTCGCAGCCTCACTGGGTCCTTCTGCACTTGCAACGTCAGAGAAGTCATCTGTGATGTCACCGCTCTCAGTTGGCCCTGCTGCTCATCAACATGTGCAGCTACAATCCCCAAGGTGAGTTACATAAGCTGTCAGAGATGTGAAGTCTTGAGGCAAGCTAAGGTAAAAAATTACTGTAGCTAAGTTAAATCAGGGAAGAGAGTGATGTCTAGAGGGTCTTTTTAGTTTTATCCTTCAGTCATATCAGAAAATCTGTTTTGTGTGTTTGTGTGTGTGTATGTGTCTACATGTACCCATGTGAATTCCTCCAGGCCGTTCCCTCTGAAAGGTTCCAGAGGTGAGAAGAGTCGAAGCCTTAAAAAACTGTCCAGGTAAATGAATCTTCATCAACTTCATCTTTGACATCCCAGCTAGTCGTCCATAACTTCCACATCTGATAGTGTTGGTTGCAATATATGGAATTTAATCTGTTCGTTCATTACAAAAAAATTAATTAGGTAACAGGGTTTTTTTTTAACATTGAAAACATTTGTCAGAATGAGCTAGTGCAAATATTAGCCAACTCATCTATGTCCACTAGTAATTAAAAGAAAATTAACTTTTAATTCTCTTTAGCTTTAATTGCATTTCAATAATGCAATCCTATTATTTTTGTCAAAGGATGAAGTTAGTTTCTAAAAGTTTGACTTTTGAAAATAAAACCTGAAATCTGACAACTCATTAAATAAAACCATATCAGATTTTCATTATGTGCTATGAGATTATTGCTCGCCCCTATGCTCCCAGTCTAAACTGGAAAACTAGAAATATGTGGTGCATTGATACTTCTTACTTACAACAACCAAGCACTCCACTGTGTGCAATGCTCTCTCTCTGCCTCTTTATTTCAGGGAGTTCGAGGGCTCGATCCAGCGCTACCAGTGGTTTTTCTCAGAGCTGCCAGAGATGCTTTGTGAGAGTGAGCTGGAGTTTGAGCAACACACATGCTGGAGTGGCGAAGATGTCGTAGAGAGGTGTGTGTGGCATTGTAACTTGTAGTATGTGGATGTGGATGACTAGTCGAGTTTTCACATTTGGTGACAAGTTCTTATTGACAGTGTGGTGTGGATTGGATTTAATCTGTGTTTAAAATGTTTTTTAATGCGTATTGTCAATGTTTTAATTACTCTGCATTTTCTGTCATTTAAAATGCAACCCTATCTGAGATAATGTGATTTTTTTTGTTTCATTTTAAAGACAGAATTATTAATTTAGTCAGAATTATTTTTAAATTTAAAAGGGACAGAAGTGCAGGATATGACTGTGTGTGTGTGTGTGTGCTTGTATGGCAGTGCAGGGCTAGTATAAGTTATATACCATGGGAGCAAGGGCATTTTGGGAAATTAGGTACCTTTTTGCAGGTCCTCACAACTTCATGAGACTGTCTGAGGGGTAAAACTCAGTTTGTTCAGGTTAGAATTAGGTTTGTGTTAGGTTAGGGTTTGGATACGGGCTGGGGGTAGGTGTCCTCATAAAGATAGCTGCTCAAATGTGTGCACACGTATGAATGTGTGTTTCGTGCATGTGTGTATGTGTGTGTGCCTGTTTGTCTTGTTTAAGCTGCTGGTGTGATCACCATGAGAAAGACTGAAAACGAACTCTATGACCTTCACAAGCCTGTCACCCCCCTGCCCTGGCAACTGTTAGGACCCCCCCACACACACCCCCCTACCCATCACGCACACAGTCATACAGACACACACGCATTCCAGCACTCATAACGGCTAACACACATGCCGACAGCACACAACAATCATGAGATGATTGTGCTCATCTGACACCTCAGTGCACCTAGCCATAATCAACACACACACACATATATTTTTATCCATATGTTGCTGTCGGTGTTTTGCAAATCCATTCATTAGTTCAGCCATCTATTCATATCTCCATCCTATTCATTAATCTTCTCCGCCCTCTGACCCATTTCACTTACAAATGTCTGTGTTAGTGAGAGTGTGTGTATGTGCGAGACAGAGCAAGAGGTGGCGAAAACACACAGAAAGATGAAAACATCTGAGAGTGGATGATGAAGTTCGTCTCCTGGGTTACAAGATAGCCTGACAAGCTAGAATTACACCACTGTCAAGGGAAATAAGAGTGCAAAAGTAAAATAGGTGTCATTTCCTCTGTGGTCTCCAAATTAAGTCTTGACACATGGAATAACGTAATTGAAACATTTATTTCTTTGGGCCTTTTGTTGAGCAACTTGCAGGAATTTTGATAATTAAAATGAAATAATGGAAAAAAGCAATCAGGAAAAAAATAAGATGAGAAAGCTAAACTTGCATGTCTTATAAGGAGAAAGTGTATACTAAACATTAGGCCTTTACTACTGCTTCAAGGAGAATAGTCAGGAAGGACGATGCAGTTTTCAATATCAAACAACTTGGCAAGAGTATCAGAACCTTGAACAACCTAACAATCTGGAAATCAGTGAAACAAACACAAGCTGAACATAAGGCCCATGGCAATATATAAACTAAGGTGGTGGTAGGACCCAACTGACAGCAGAACATTCCCTAACTCCACCTCACCACTTAACTATATCCACCTCCACAAACACCCACAAGGCGAGACACAGACAGAGCAGAGCACAGAGCAAAGCTGGAGTACAATGCTTTTACAGTGCTAAACAAATAAAACCTTATTTAGAGAGACACCCATGTTCCACTGATACAGCTGTTTTCACTTAGTTTGCCTAATTAGATTCCATCATAGGACATTGTAAGTGTGGGAACAATAACAATACAGTTTCTTTATAGTGTATAGTTGTGCTGGAATATTCATAATTGTTACAGTCAGGTTGTTAAATGTGTGTGTGTTTGCGGCTTCCTGTACTTTGTGCAGACGGCACTGTAATACTTGACCGTCTCCAGAAGAGGGAAGCATCTAATCATCGTCCTAAGTAACAGGCGGTTAACTCTGCTTCTACCACTAAACATCAGCCACACCTGATGTTCTCATGTGTTTTGCGTACATTCTTAATGCATGAAAATCTGTTTTATATCAGCCATTAATGGTTCACTGAGTCAGGGAGGTGCTGTTAAAAGGGAGGATTGTCCGGAGGGGGTGAGCATAGAGAAAGTGATACTAAATGCATTTTATTATACCCATCCAAACCACAGCATATCACTTACACATCTGACACAAGAGGTGCAGATATATGCCTCAGGTGTCAGTAGTGTGTGTGTGTGTGTGTGTGTGTGTGTGTGTGTGTGTGTGTGTGTGTGTGTGAGACACACCTATCTAGTGTGTGTGTGTGTGTGTGTGTGTGTGTGTGTGTGTGTGTGTGTGTGTGTGTGTGTGTGTGTGTGTGAGACAAACCTATGTAAATGACTCAGCTGGAATGCAGCTAGCTTCTCTCTTAATATTACACACCTTTCTCAGATCACTATCTCAGGTTAATTCATTGTCACTGTGTGTATGTGTGTGTTTCTGTGCACACTGTAGACACTTCAAACGTTTGCTGCAGGGATGAGACAGAACAAGGTACCTCTGTGTGTGTGCTACTGCCGTAACCGAGGGCAGCAGCAGAGCAGCTTTGCCATTATGGTGCTGGTGATTTATGGCTGTCGTTCTACAGATCTTATTAAGCGTCGCTCAGAGTCACACCTCTCTGTGTCACCTGCACCACACTTTCTGCAGCAGTATCATCTGGTGTCAAGCAGACAGAGCACCGTGACAGTGTGTAATCTGCCCAATAACTCAATCAGAGAACTGACAGCTTCCTGTACATTCAGGAGCACAGCAGGTATTGGACATGAGAAAATGCTTTAGCTGTGCAGATGCCATCTTCTACCTATTTAAATATGAAGCACAATCCACGGGGTTTGATTTATTGCTCAGCCTGTAGATGAAATTTTGTACATTTGCCAGATGGCAGTTACAGGTAATGGGTCGAAACTATTTTCTGTTATGTGAGTAACTTTATTACACAATACTTGTGCTTATCAACCCCACCCTGAGCCATCTCTTTGTACATAAAGATAGCAAATTGATGAAAAATGCAAAAGCTCTGATGACTGTTCACTACATTTCTACTGAACTTCAATGTATTTTCTCATTCTGGTTGAACTTACTCATTTTGATTTACCCTGCTACACTGAAAGTCAGTCAAACTGAAATGAAGCCACCACCTCGTCTCCTCCAGCATCACTAAAACCGATGGCTGACAAATGTTAAGTTAGAATGAGATCTGTTAAGGTTTCAACAGATGAGCTGCTCCTGCCAGAGAGGTATTTTAACAGGGTATCTTTCTGCAGATACCGTAGTTTCATACAGCCAAGGTTGAGTGTCTATTCTCCTGCCCTCCAGACCATAGCGGCAGAGAGCTTTTCTTCATCCTTATATTGCACCAGTCATTACAGGGTTTAGTCCATTAATAACTGACCTTTCTAAATGGACTTCAGTGGTCCCTAATCACAGCTCAGAGTATGGAGGAGACTGCAGTAAGACTGATTTCCAAGTTGACCCACCAGTCACCTATCCTGGAATTGCAATTCAGTAACAGCTGAAGGCAATCCTCTCAGAGAACTTCATGTCAGTGTTTTGTTTTTACAGCTAATCATAGCCCCAGTTACTGGTTTAGACATTATCAATGTTAAAGTTTATATATGTAATGAGGATTATACTCTGTTGGCTTCAGAAGGGATGTATAGTAAATGATTTTAGTGTTATTTATCTGACAGACATCACTGTGTGAGGGTGTGGACAGCCCATTTCAGCCTATAACCTCTTCATCATTTATGTAAATACTTGTATGTTTAATTGTCAAACTATACTATTTGTACAACAAGTCATCCTGCTCGCAAGATCCAGAGATATACATTTTATTACAGTAATTTGCATGTCTCCCCCTACACCCAGTTTTAATATGGAGAAGGTCACAGAATATAAAAATCTTGAGGTCTGTCTCTCTGAGAAATTTACATTTTAATATAAAAACTTGTTAGCAAGCTGCCACAAAACCCTGGCAGCCTGCAGAAACATCTGAGCTGTTGAAAAAGTATTTTCCTCTCAGCTCCTGATCACATGGATGTAATTTATAGACATATCTCAATACTCACCACTGCATTTTTCATTATTAGCTTGGTTGGCTCTTTACTAAGAAACACAGTCACCCTAGGTGATTAAACCTACACTGTCCTGTTGGAAAATGTCCATCTTGTATATACGTCTTTTAATGCTCTTGCAAGCCATTCATAATGATTACCTGTTACCTGCCTGTAATGCTTCTGACTAATTCTCTTAATCATTTTGTTTTGTTTGTGTCTTATCTGTTTATATTAGTTATTTTATTTTTCAGTGTAACTGTGAACAGACTGTTGAGGTAAAAGAGGAGGCATGCTCAGCCAACCGACCTATAAATGAAGGTCAAATCAATTGTCTGTCACTCTTGGCTGCATTGTTACTAATGAGACAGAGAACATTCCCAGCTTTAATGAAGCGAAAGGAAACCGAGATACTTGCCAAAATATTTGTGAGGTGCTGATTTGTGATCTTCTAATTCATTGGATGTATGGTGTTGACAGTGATCCCTGAAATCTTTGCAGGAGTTTAAGGAATCTTGGGATTTTTCCTTGGGGAAAGTCTGGTTTTTAATTGAACTTTTATTCTTTTTCCATCCTTCCCCCTCACCCTCCTTCCTTCTTGTCCCTCTGTTCCTTCTCTTTCTCCTTCATATTCTGCTTTTTCCATTGCTGTGCATTATATAAATGCCAGTGCATTTACATGTACCTCATTGTCCTGTTACTACATCAAATACTCATGTATTCTGTATATGACAGTTGTTCTGTTTTGTACATGTAACATCATGTTGTATTTTTATCAGTTATATTTTCTTATCCCAGATATACAGCAAAAGTCAGTTCTTTGTATAAACAGAGATTAGTGGCGATGCATTTTATTATTTTTGCTGTTCACTGGCACATCTCTGTAATCAATATAAGCAGTTTCCATGGTAATAGTGTTTATTTTTTTCTGTAGCAATACAAAAAGAGATCCATGAGATTTGGTCTTTCTCATAAAGTAAGATTAGCAGGTTAGCCAGCTAGCTTCAGGCTTAACCCGGGTTTCTGGATGCACAAGGCTTGCTCAGTTTGTTTTGTACAACGTGGCAAACTTCCTCTGGAGCATGTTGAGCTCAAAGGATCTGAGAAAAAAAGCACACCCACTAACAAATCAACTCAGTTGTCAGTGCCAGGCCTAATTAAGTCAGACTTACACATGAACACTTTGATTTGAATAAGAGTTTGTATTAAGAAAAATGTATGCATGAATGCATAAGCTGTGTGAGAATAAAACAAAGATTAGTGAATCTTAATTCAAGACCTCATACATCAGAGAGATGCTTCTGATAGGATCTGACTCTGGACCAGCAGGGTGAGCATGACTCCAGAGGCTGGGGACTTCAACACCACACCACTGGGATTAGTCAGGACACTTTTCATTCATCCACCATGTCTTCACTTTCATCTTCCCATAGTCCTTTTCTCTCATTGCCATGGCCAGAGTGTGTTTGTGTTTTCGAGGGTGTGGACCCAGCAGTTTGTGAGTTGGTGGCCAATTGTATTAGCTAGCAAAGCTGGTTTGCAACTTGGAAGCTTGGAAAAATATGACTCACGAATCTTTGTTTCTTCTCTTTTGCTTTTCTCTCACTTCATCTTCCTTTTGATCCACCCACCTCAACCCCTTGCACAGATAAAATGATGTGATATTTGCTTTCAGCCCACTACAGGAAGAAACATCAATATGCAAGATGATATGCAAGAAGCATCGTTCTTAGAGATGACTTTTATTTTCCACTTTCAGGCTACTCTAAGCTGTCATTTAAAAAGTTCAGTACAAAGTCCTTCCACTGTGTGACAGTCCTTCAGAAGGCTCTTTGAGGCTTAAGACTTGGTTTGAGGGCTATTTGTTAGGTTTAGGATACTGTGATGGTAGTATGAGGGAAAGTAAATGCATTATGTCAGTGAATGTTGTGTGCATGCCTGTGTCCATGCATATGAAAAGAATCATGACAGCTGGTCTGAACACACTAGTCTGGTGGCTCTGGGGAAATTTGTGTAGGAAAACTGGGACAGAAGTACTGCATGTCTCTCACTTGTTCTGTCTTTCTGTAGTTATGCAGGTCACGTGGTTGGCAGCACTTTAAAAGCTCAGAGGGAGAACCCAGAGATGACCATCCGCAACACAGATCCTGTCCTGAAAGGGGTGAAACAGAAACTGGAGCAGCTGACACAGGTACACAAACACTCAATTCAAATTAGGACCAGTGAGCAATGTAAATATTATCACTGCTTCATTTTCTTATTGTATTACTTTGTAATAGCTTCACTTGCTTTCAGTGAGAGGGGAAATGTTCAGCCTTTCCCACACAAATGTTTTGGTTCAGACCAGGACATCCTCTAAGCATGTGTGTGTGTGGGAGTGATGTGTTGTCATCTTTGTGTGGCTCTCAGTCATCTGTGACCACCTCATGTGTGAAGCACTGCTTAATCCAATAAACATAAATGTCAGGGCTCTAAACAGATGTCGATAATACAGTATCACGGAATAATAAATTCATTAATCCACCAATTAAACCAGATGTATGCAGCACTTCCAAAGCCCTGAACACCATAGTAATGTGGTAATGTGATTTGCATGGATGAATCATAAAATAATATGAATATGATTCATAAAAATGATGCATCAAGGTCATATCAAGGTTCATAATGATGATCCATTATTTAAACTAAAGACCTGTGTTCAGGACACTGGAGATGGAGAACACACACTGTACTGGGAGACAGACCAACCACCCCAATAGTTACCGTAAGTTATCATCAGCAAATCACATTAATATTCGTTTTTAAAAAGCCATATAATTCCCTAAAACAACTGTATGTTGTAAATGGAATCAGTTCAAAATAAACAGTACTACAGTGCTTATATTCATTGTAATGAAGCGGTGTGTTGCCTAGTTCAGCATGTTTGTAATAGTTTTGGAATAACAATGGAAGACTATAGGACAGAGGACTAAGCTGTGGATACACAGACAGCAAGATCAATGCTCTTTCCATATCATACATAATAACTAGAATATATAGTATCACCAGACTTATGCTTTAAAGTAATTCATTTTAGCCATTAAAGGCAGAGATCTGAGTTGCTGAGTGCTCAGTCACCAGGTCAAGAGTGAAAACTCATGGGAAAATCACAGGACGGGGCATGTCATGCTTAATTTTTTTTTTCTTGGTGTTGAAGTGCTTTCTGTGCTCTGTCTAATTTTGGTGGTGAGTCCATTAATCATGTTGGATTTACATGAGGGAGGTGCCAAGTCAGCAACCCCCACCATATATGATCACACACCACACTTGCACCATGTAATTGTTTATGTATGAGATCTGCTTTCTCAGGCCCATGAATTCTTTGTTACCTGAATGTGTCCTAATAGTCTAAGATACAAAGACCAGTGAAGCTGGTACACATATGCACATTAACACACGATAATGAGGACAGGAGAATGTTTTAGTTCTTGTAATACACGCCCACTGGATTGGCAGTGGTAACGTTAACAGGACACAAAATGAACCAAAGGGAAAAGTCAGATACAACACAGCTCATCTGCATTGCAGACTGTTGTCAGTTCCAAAGGAGTGCGTCATCTTTCCATCTTTTGATAGCTAGAGAGAATGCAGGTCTGTGCACATAAACAAACCCCATTTGTAGGTCTACATGATGAGTTGTTATTATCCTCTGAATGAGTTTAGAGTCACCTTTGCAAATCCAGAGCCTGGGCTGGGTGTCCTTTATGCCTACAGCCCTAGTGCTTTCTCTGTGGGGAAGCATTCATCTGAGCCACATTAATGCAGACCTGTTATTAATTATTCTTCATTCCTGTCATGTGTGCCATTTACACACTGGCAGAGCTAGGATGACAGGAGGGAAAAAATATGAAACAGGACAAGGAAGCATCCCTGGAATTTTAATTATTTCATCAGCTATGTTTTGGAGG